GGAAAAAACGAGTTTAGATATTGCCAAACACTACAAAATCATGAAAAAATCATCGGTTGTACAAGAAAAGTCAATTAAACTGGGCTACCAATAGCAAAAATCAAACTTATTATCACATCTGGTTACGCTACAAACTAAATCTTATATTTAAAACAATAATAAATAAAAAAATCCTCCCTTTTCATTGGCTTGAGAAAAGACTTAGATCATCGTCATCAATATCAATATTATCTGTGTTCCTTGACATGAAAGCTATTTATAGAATTGATAATTTGTTCCTAAATATAAAATCTCACCTAAATTTGTAATTCTTTTTTGCAAAATATCTATGTTGAATGTAAGGGTTTCCAACCAAGAGCTAATTTCAGTACTCAAATATTGAAAGAGAGTAGTTAGGACAGCTAACATATATTTATTATGAAAAATGAACTTAAATAATTTTTTAATATATCTGAATTAATCATTTAACTCTCATATTAAGTACCATGAATAGTATATCAGTATCCATACACATAATTAGACCAGTTTTATGCATTTGAAAGATGTAAAATAGAAAGATATTATATTAAAAAAGAAAGAAAGAAATTTCTTAAACCCATGCCATGTACTACATTTTGAAACAATAACACATAAAAAATGTCCTATACAGTAGTATTACATTGTAGGGAGTAAATCATTACAAAACTTTTTTCCTAACTTTACACCATGCAGAATGATATTTAATTATTTATAAGTCATGGAAAAAAACATTTCTCTCTTTTGTTTTTTTGCCAGCAAAACATTTCCTAATTTGCGGCCTGAAAACTCCGGTACGTTAAAGGTCAATGCAAAAGCCAAACAGAAAACGAAGAAGCTTCCTTCTTAAGCTTCTTCTCGTTTGCGTGGCTTCTTCGAGAAGCTCACCGAGACGTGTCGGCTCGCTCACCTGTGCTCGTAATCATGTCACCGCTCTGCACCTCTCGACCATCCAACCACTAATAAACCTCCACGTCATACAATCGTCAATATGAATTGACCAAATCGCCGCACCACCGCGACCCGTCGCTTAACGAATAAAAAAAATAATACGAAAAAGACGGCGTCGCGTTTTCGTGGAAGTGTCGTATGTTGGAAGAAGTTGCCGTTTCGTTTGAAGACGACGCTGACTGTAACATTCGTGCGCCCTAAGCTAAAATCAAAACACGTTGAAGAAGTATCATCATCTATTATTTAATGTTGCAATAGATTCCCTATGGTATTAAATATGGATTAAATGTGTACAACTCATTGAAGATTGAATGATGTTATTCATACCATGAAATTAAGAAAAAAATGAAGAGAAAGCTATTAGAAAGTTGATTGGTGAAAAAAATCTGAACAAATTTTATACAAAGTATCGATATTCTGATTTATGTTTTTCTTACCAATAAAATTTTTAATGGAAGACTTTTTTTTCCAATTTTTTCCGAAATTAATTTATTAGCTACTAATTAATGCACCGCTTTAATAGTTCTGAACAATTTATTCTTGTTTTCTTTTTTAATTTCTTTTATTCGATGTTAATTTAGGCCTATGGCCTTAAGCTAAACCAGAAGTCGCTGCTGTAAAATTTGTAAGAAAATTCTTATTTTATGTATATGTATGCTCCGTGCTATTCAGCAAACTCACACTGGTCAGTAAAATAAAATAAAATAATTAATACAAAAAAAGTATAGAGATGAATGCAAAAACAGCACAAACATAAATTGAAAAATGAAAGCATACAAGAAAAACAACCAACGAATCGGGAAAAGAATTAAAGTTGAAAGAAAATCTATCACAAATTAAGCTAAGTGACTAATTAAAATCAAACTTGAATAAACCAATAGATGTCGTAGTAAAAGAGATTTTGGCCGCTTAATATGAAATCTCGAGTTCGAATTGGATTCAACAATGCTCAAATCTAGCACAGTCAAATAAGCAAAGTAAAAAAAATTAAACTTGAATGAATTTATAAATGACAAGTAATTCAAGTTAAGAAAAACATCATGTTATCACATTCAAACTAATTAAAGTTAATATAAACGCAACAAAGGAAATAATAAAAATAGAAAAAAATATTTATTTTGACCTACTTGAATTGGTTTCAAAATCCCATAGGATAATTAATAATAAAGTCACGGCATTATTTGAATGCAGTTTCGTTGAACCTGGCACAGAAATAATATGACAATATTGGAATAAACAGCTAGTTGAGATATTGAAGTCGTAGTCAATTTTAGATATTAATAAAATAATTAATGCGATCAACTAATTCAAAAGGCAATGTGAAAAGGAAGGAATGAATAGAATGTATTGGAGATGAAGAATACATAATTGTAAGGTTAGTTCGTAGGTATGTGTCTGTAAAAATGGGAATATATAGCGTTAAGGGCACTCAAATTTGACACAACAGCTAAATTCCCAACTGTCTCTTTGAAGAGGTGAAACGTCTTCCCAAGAATCAGCTCATTGCCCCATCTCCACTCTTACTCACCACCTCCCTTTTCTTCTTTTCTTTCTTTTCTTTTTTTCCCCCCCTTCTTTTTTGAAGAAAAAAATTACTCCTGTCGATCGGCAACTATATATCCACTATTTGATATTGCTAATTAATTTGGATTTAAGTTGTAGTCCAACCCAGGTCGGCTGGTCACGCACCGGTGAATGAGTTCCTTGACCGGTCTGATTAAAAGTTTTGAATGCATTAACTGAGTCATTTTACCTTTTTTTTTTTGGCCGAGCATGGAATGACATTGTTTTGAGTTATAAAAGTAATAGCAGTTTGGTAGATTTGTGCTTTGATAACTTTATTTTGTTGGATTGTGTATTGTATGGTTTATGTTTTTTAAGTCATGACTAGGGTGACCTCGACCGAACTTTTTTTCTGGCCAAAAACCATGGCTCAATTATGTCTAACAACCGATTTTCAATATCTCGATATTGGCCTTAAACGGAGAGAAACTCTTCTAACTTAAATTTTTTTTTTAAACTAACAAAACTTGAATTCAAGACTCATTTATAGGATTTTTTTTGACCAAACGTTTATAGGATATTGAATTCTTTAATTTAATTGACTTAACCCTTGTGTTGTTTTCATTTATAATTAGGAGAATTATAATAAGATCCCAAGAAAAAAAATAATTACTAGTAAGTTCCAATAATAAGTGAGCAGTTGTCATTTATTACCTTTAAATTTGTCATTGCAACCTACTCTCTTGTCATTGAAACTTTATATTAATTATGTTCCTTAATTGAGATTTCATGGCAATTTTCCCTTTATAATTTTATATGTTACATAAACATATTTCAATAATGCAAATCGTGCATACTTTTTTTCATTAAATTGGGCTCCTTATATAAAGTCATTATAACTAAATGTAGTTTTCTTGAATAATTCTAAAGTTTTTATATATATTGGGTTAGTTTAATTATTAGATCATACGTGAACTTTTCCATAAAGCATGACATCTGCCTGAAAACCTCGAGACAACAAGTAATGTTAAATTTCAGTTATGGTTAATGGAAGATGACACCTCCCTTGTTCAGCAATCTTCACATAATCGAATGTTGAATTCGCACACATGAAAATCTAGTATAAAAATTAAAACACAACATACTTGGTTCAATTAAATTTAATTATAAAATTCTTCCTTTGACAATATATATGAATTTGGGAATATATAATATTATCTTATTATATAATTCATTAAAATATGATTTACTTTATTATCAATACGATTTAATTCGTTTTTTTCTTAAATGAGTGTACATCTAATAATAAATTTAAAAACATTCAAAATATTATTTCATGTTTAATTATGATCTGTCATGACAGAAAAGATATTCATAAATGTATTTTAATGTAACAACTTTTACCATTAAATTTTCATGAAATTAAACCATCATTCAATGCTCATTTTCTTTAATACAATTTCAAATTAGCCTGAATTTAACGAGGCATCTGTGATGACTTATAGAAATCCATTGGCATTTTCACGGTAATAATAACAAGGATTAATATAACTTTTAGTCTCTGAAATTTAGACCCATTTTAATTTTGGTCATTCAAATTTTAAACTTGTGATTTTCATCTCTAAAATTTAGCTTGTCTTAAAATGTTAGTTCTTCAAAATGTAACTGTGTTAAAATTTCTTGAAGCGTCATTAATGGAATTAAAAATAGTAATGGGGACTCATTAAATGGCACATGACTAAATCTTGTATGAATAACAGAATGCAGCAAAGTGAATAGCTATTGAAATATAAAGTAATGAAGAAAAAGGAGGGGGTGAAATTGCTGCGTTTTGAAGATTTGTTCGTTTTTTTCCTTTTATTATTCACACAGTATCCAACTAGATGCTATCTGATAAGTCCATATCACCACTTTAATATTTTTTATGACATTTTATTTGATTTTAATACTATTATACCTATGAGAACTAATGTTTTAAGATAGACTAATAATAATAATAAAAGAAAAAAGACGGTGAAAATTGTGAAATTGCAAATCAAGTATTTTGTCAAAAATTTGCTGTCATTTAACATCCAATTATCATCAAAACCTATACAAGTCTTGCAACGAGTTCTGATTTGTGATTTTACAACTTTCACGTTTTTTTTTTGTTGCAATTTTTTCATGATAAAACCCTTCAAGGGTTCAAGGGTTAAAATTGTTTAGTTTACTTCTTTTTTTTTTTTTTCACCTACCATAATAACTTGAGTGTAAAAACTTAGGTGCTTTTTCAAGCTGTTTTATTCTTTCATTCTTTAAATTAATATTCCGAGAAAAAAAGTAAGTAGTAGGCCCTACAAAATGTGTCACCTTGGGAAAGCTACCAAGGGAAGTGCATGCATCGCGTGGTACACGCGTATGCACAGGATCATTCTCCCTCCAAGACTTGACGTCCAAGCAATCGCCGCAACCCCCTCCCTATTTCTATATCGCCCTTTGCTTCTCGCTCTCCTTTTATCGCTTACACCCTTTGCCTTCTCTCTCTCTCTCTCTGTGTGGGCGTGAGGTGCCAACGGTTCGTAACGCCACGAACAAATATTATTCATCGAACCATTTGGATCATTCTCAGAGAAGCCATATCTGATACATACAGCAGCAAGAAGAAGGCGATAACCTCTCTCTACTTGGCCCAAAAACGTGTTCCAAAAGAGACAACCTACATATACTCCTTTCCCATCTCTTTACCTTTTCTTTATTCCTCCTCCTCTTCTTCCCCCCTCTCTCTTCTGGTTTTGATTTATTTATTACGATTCTCTCTCTCTGTGCTTCTGGGTGTGTGTGGGCGTAATAATAAGATAGTTGAAGCTCAAGTGATTCAGAGGAGAAGGAGAAGAAGAAGAAGAAGATGACATGGTGCAACGAGTCATCAGACGAAGAGGAGCAGAATAATAATAGTAATAATAAGGCGATTCAGATGATTAATTCGCCCTCCATTGTTACTCCTTTTTCTGCTGCTTCAGTTAATAATCAACAAGCCGTCGCAGCAAAACCCTCCGAGATTCGAACCGTTACTTGCCCTTCATGCGGCCATAACATTCAACTCCAAGATCAGGTAGGTATATAAGTATAATTTTTCTGACAAGCTAAGGTTGTGTTATTTATGTTTCAGAAGTTGACATGTTTTTGTTTTCTTTTGTGTTTGAATTTGATAATTTCTGGGTTTTCTATAGGCTGGGATTCATGAGCTTCCAGGGCTTCCAGCTGGAGTGAAATTTGATCCAAACGATCAAGAAATATTGGAGCATTTGGAGGCCAAAGTTCTGTCTGATGTGCGTAAGCTTCATCCTCTCATTGATGAGTTCATTCCAACGCTTGAAGGCGAAAATGGCATCTGTTATACTCACCCAGAAAAGCTTCCAGGTACACACACACACACATGATGTTGTTGTTAACTATGATTATTCGTGTTTTGGTCTTATTATTATATATTGTTGCTTAATCGTTTTGTTTACTTGTGTTTGAGATATATATACCTCTTGATTGCCATTTAAGGAAAAGGGCTAATTATAATTAGATCCTTAAGAAAACATCTGTGAGATATTACAAAAATTAATTCTTTGATTACGTACTAATTATGAAGGGGGGATATTCAAAAGGTAAAAGAAAAGGGCTAACACAATTAGACTAGCTGGGAAGAATAAAAGATGCAAGTCCAGGTTTTACTTAAAAAGATATATCAATCTTGATTCTCAAGCAAGGATATATCAAGATTCTTTTTTTCCCTCCTTTTATTTTATAAAGATGTAAAAAAAATTGTGAGAAAAACGGCATCAACCATATAGGAAAAAACACTTGAAAATCAATCAAATTGATTTTTGGGGGAATCCCGAAAAAATACCGTTGAATTTTAACATTTCAAATCACCTTTTTTACTACATTTTGATAATAATTGATAATGATAATATTTGAAAAGCAAATGACAATATATTTTTGTAGTTATTTCTAATTTGGAATTTGAAATTTTAGAAGTATTTTGGCAGGATTTTCCCTTTATTTTTTTTGGGCTTGGGCTTTTTTTTTTTTCATTATTTCGTAATGAATAGGAAATTAAATTCCCAATTCACATCAAGTTGATGTGCCATTATGCAGGGAATTTGCCACATAGGATTCAGCTTTTATTGATGAAAATGATTTTTCCTCATAAGGAATAAAAGCTGTGGAGAATGACTGGCGAGACACTAAATATTACATAACACATTAATTTTCAATAGAGATATTCTCAAGTCCACCAACCAGCAAAGTTATACATAACCATAAATAATCTTTTCAAGCTTTGAAACTTTATAATAAATCCCTCTAAACTCTTATATTTATGCAGATAACTCCTCTACCAGTAGTTTTGTTCAATATTCATATGCACATATATCATAGTTTAGGAGGCTATATGCATGTGACTTTAAGTTTGAGGTTATATACACACAAAAATATATTGAGAGGTTATATGTAATTAATGATGAGGGTTTGTCCATACAAAGTCAATAATTTAGATGGACTTGTTACTAAGTTTTAAAAGTTAAGGGGGGTTATTAGTCTATGATTCAAAATTCAGAGGAATTTTGTGTAATTTAGCCAACATATAAAAGAAAGTTACAAAATTTGGGGGAGAAAATAAACTAGCTAGGAATGAAAAGATAAGAAAATTTTCTAAGAAAAATTATTTAAGTTGGGTTCAAGAGCTCATTATAGTCTGGATAAGAGTAGTTCTTAAGGCATAAAAGCATTTACAATTTATTGTTAGCAACCTCACTCCTGTATGGAAGAGAATATGCATTCGAGTCTTAAGAAGTATACTTGGTGAGAGAGCTATTCCTTAACTGCTCCTGGCCTAAAAAGGATTAGTTTCAAATTCAATGTGACTTAGAGATACCCTGATTCCACCTAAAAAAACATTTACAATTTACTCATGAAAAAGGTCTTGCTGTCAAAAGGGAAACTCACACCCTTAGTCAAATACTAATAAGCCGCATTACCACTAATTAGACCAACTTTTATACATAAATAATAAAGATTTTAATATAGCTTAAGAATTATAATATCTCTTTCAGTTGGTCTTTTCTTGTATTTATAACGCAGGAGAGAAACTTATGGAGGTATTTAGGAGTGCGAGTGTGAGATGTTATATTGAAAGAAACGTTAAAATATGCACATGGAAGTGTTAATGTGACCCCTTTTAACAAACTCATTTAATTGTGATACAAGAAATCACCTGAAGTGGAATGCCTACCAAACTTAAAATTAGCCTCTTATCTTACATTAACTATCTAGAAAGAGATATATGTCAATGTCTTTTCATTTTTTTTAATTATTCTAAGACTCAATGTTAAAATTAATTGTTCTTGACAGATCTAATTAATGTTACTATTCAAAAAAATTTAATTCAAAAAATTTTAGTTGTAATTTTTTTCTTATTTTATGGTAAAGTGTCTACATGATTCTAAACATGGTAGTCAACTAACTTTCAAACATCACCAAGGAACATAAACTGGGTATGTTGCTGCCTTTTTACTCTTCAAGAGGGTGTCCTATTTGGTGATGAGGTTTGACTTTTACAAAATCAAATGTTTACAACTGTTTAGAATGTTTTCTTGGTGTGATTCTTTAGCTACCTCATCGTACTTAAATTTTTAGTCTATATAAAAATATTCTAGTTTCTGAAATTTCACTATACCAACAATTCAATCATCTTAAAGAAAAGTTTCTAGAGTCCTGTATTTCTTTTTTCTCCTTCAATTAGATACTCCCTTTAGTCCTAAATGTACAAGCTAATTGAAGGGTTTGCTTTGATCTTAAATATAAAACTTTAATTCACTTCATTTCTCAAGTATATGATTTTTTTTTCTCTCAAACTATTCTTATCGATTGCATATTAAAAGGATTTGCATTAATAGAGGCAGATTCTAGTACAAATAATTAAATAGGATATTTCAGGAAACTAACACGTATTTTTAACAAATAAATAATTTAACTAATTTTTTAATATTTTCTGTAGATTAGTTATTTAGCTCATACATTCATGATAGAAGGAAGTACCAATTATACATTATGTCATTTTTGGAAGAATTAAATTAAACAGATATATACATACAAAACATATATTGTGTTTGTGTGATGTAGGGGTAAGCAAAGATGGACAGATCCGGCACTTCTTTCACAGGCCTTCAAAGGCATACACAACAGGAACCAGAAAGAGAAGAAAGGTTCACACAGACGAAGAAGGAAGCGAGACAAGGTGGCACAAAACAGGCAAAACAAGACCAGTCCTATGTAATGGTGCCGTCAAAGGTTTCAAGAAGATCCTCGTTCTCTACACCAACTATGGCAGACAGAAGAAACCAGAAAAGACCAACTGGGTTATGCATCAGTACCACCTGGGAACCAACGAGGAAGAGAAGGATGGAGAGTTAGTTGTTTCCAAGGTTTTCTTCCAGACACAACCCAGACAATGTGGTTCCATTATGAAGGACCCTTTTGACACAAAAGGGACACTACTAAACAACGATAATAACATCCATGACAGTACAGCGATCATAGGTAATAAAGAAACAGCCGCAGCTTTTGTGGACTATTACACTAATCCTTCTCCTTACATAAGTTATGATCATCATTTGGGACATCATAGTAACTCAGAAAGCTCTCCTCAACTTATTCCCAACTTGGTTGTTCAAGGTGACCATGCCTCTCCCTTCATTCGTTTAGCTATGGATCATTCCAACAAAGGAAGACTTGACAGAAAAATGTAGTCCTCACATGAAAAATCCAAAGCTTCTTGGTGTGGATTCTAATTAAGGTTTGATCCGAAGCGAAAAAAGAGATAGAAATATAATAGTAGGTCCCACTTCTGACTTGGGAATCTTATAAACCGGAGGCCGACTATTATATATCTATCTTTCTCTTTACGTTTGAAAAGGAGTCACAGCATTAACCGACAATATATCTACATATACATATAATTATGGGATTTTCTCTTGCATGTGCTCATATTATGCATGTAACTAATGGTCAGATTTTGGATCTTTATGTTGGAATTTTATGTGTATAATCTGATCTGTTTAGTGTATGTACAGTGAGTGCATGCAAGAGTTATGTTTTTTCTTTATTGTATTATGAATAAGTAAATGTATTTATTTGAATGAGATTAGAGAAAAAGGGAGCTCTAGGATTTGGACATACTTGTAATTGACCTTTATGATTGAAGTTGAGAAAACACAAAGGATGGAATGTGTACAGTTATTATTCATAAAATGATTGATGTGCTGTGTAGATTTTATTATGAAATTAACTAGGATTCATTTTTTATCCTCTACTTGCTGCAGATTCATATTCGCTCTTTGATTATTCAAATATGTTTTAGTTTTTATTAGAACGACATTATTATTATAAATGATATATTACTATAGAATTATTCAAATATGCCACTTCATGCCAATATTCCAGCTAGGGAATCAGTTGAGTTACAAAGTGTCGGAAGTTATCCTTCATTACAAAGATGAGTGACTGTGGTGATTAAGTTCAGCCAACCATATATCTTGACCTCCCAATCATAGCTCAGCATGCCTTGTAATTTTGAAGAGTAAATCTCAACTAAGCTCTTGGAGTCAGAGTCCAAAATTGCTTTCTTGAAACACAGCTCCCAAGCTTAATTTAAACCTCTAGGATATCCCCATTGTTCAGCCTCTAAAGCTCTACATTGGCCTATTTCTCGACAAAAACCCTCTATCCATTTGCCATCTGGATGTCTTAGAACTCCACCACAAACAGACTTGTTTGATAGTGAAAACATGGCTCCATCTGTCTTCAATTTAATGCAATCACAGGGAGGAGGAAGCCATGTATTTAAATTCCCAAAGCTACTTTCGGCCTTATCATTAGCACGAACAGACATTTGAGTAAAATACTTCCAGCTCTGCTTAATGACCTCAGTTGGATTTATATGGGCCTCTCTTTCCAAGTTACAAAAGGTCACAGAGAGGGGAAGCTTGTGACCACGCACTCCTCCAAGCATTTGTAGGAAGTTTGTTTTGTAGAACCTTCCACATAAACACTCTACTTCTCTCCACTCCTCGCCATCTCCAAATAAGCTTAGAAGTGGGATTATAGGCTTGAGGGGGATTCTCTTCAATTAAGTAGTACGCACTTCTAAGAGTGAAGGAGCCACCATTTGAAGGATTCCAAGACATTAAAACAGCTTAAGTTAAATAAGCGTTGGATTGAATCTATAAATAGGCCATTTCCTCGCAGAATGCATGACCCAGCCCATGTGTTGGATCTTTTTTTTGGGTATAATTTAGTTTCAATTGGCGACTTTGGAAACGTCTCTGTTAATTGAAATGAAATCCATATTCCAATCCCAATCAAAATTAAAATAAATATAATGGACAATAAGTGATTAGATAGAGTGCAAAAAGCTTGATTTTCGTATAGATCAAAGGTTATATCCTGTTGATCTTATTGAAAAAATTTATTAAAAAAATATGTTAAAAAACATTGAAAGAGGTCCAATGTAAGTCATTTGTACATCTTCCTTGCATAGCAAAATATGCATTAACTTAGCGGGAGCTAGAGCTAAGCAATGGGCGGGGTGGGCTAACTCGAAGGTTAGCCCATAGCCCGCCCATTTATTCATAAATGGGCATGGGCTAACCCATAACCCGGTAGTAACCCATTTAGCCCGTATTAAATGGGCTATGGGGCAGCCCGTTTGGGCTAACCGGGTTACGGGGTAACCCATTTATTTTTTTTAAATTTTTTTCAGTATAGTTATTTTGTATATGTAACCTTATGAAGCTGTCAATAAATTTTACATACCAAATAGCAAATTAAATATGAAATAGCATCAACCATATTCAATCACACAACCTCACTTAGATTCGCAAACAATTAAAGTCTGATAAAATCATAAAAGTAGTCATCAATCATAAAGTCTCATAAACTTTGAAAATTCCAACTTTTACCTAAAGGATAAAATAAAAGCTTAGACAAACATGAATGTTTGATAAAAGATGAATGAGAAACAATATCATCAATTAAATGAAGAATAAAAATATTTTTAAAAACTTAAAACTTAAACGGGCGGGTATGGGCAGCCCAATACCTTGCCCATAGCCCAACCCGTTTAATGGGCTACCCCGCCCATTTAAGCCCGCCCGTTTATAATATCTTATTTGGGCTAATTGGACGGGCTTAAATGGGCAAAAATTTCATGGGTCATGTGCGGGCTAGCGGGTAATGGGTTTGTTGCTCACCCCTAGCGGGAGCAAAATACCCTCCTTAGCGAGTTCATATTCCTGCGATCAGGATTAGCTAGTTGCTCAACACAGCTGGTACCAGAGTTATCACAAAAAAAAGTAAAAACATTAAATTAATAATTTTTTCACAAATACGAAAAGGCATTAAAAAAAATGTTCTCTTACATCTTTTCTTTATCATATTTAATATGAACAAAATTTTAAAAAAATTTACTAATTATCCTCCAAGTGACATTTGGAACCAAGTTTTTTTTTTTGGTTTTAACAAACTAGTTAAATCAATTATTTGTTAAAAATATGTATTAATTTCTCTAAAATACCTTCTTCAATCATTTGTTAAGTATGAAAAACAAAATACATTAGATCTTGCGTTTTAATTCAAATTCAACCTCCTAACTAGATCCAGAGGTAGTAATTTCTTCTTTTTTTTTTAATATTTAGCTTCAAAGTAAAGCTCCTTCAGAGATAAAACAAGACAACCAAAACACATCAGTTTTAATAACAACCATATGCCACATCATACAAGCTGCACAAAAGAATCAGTAAACAAATCGACTTTAGGATGAGGCACAATTGGCAAGTCATATCTGATTCAACACCACCTAATCTCCGAACCATTTTCCTATGGTTACTGGTCCCCCAAAGCATGACCACTACAGAACACAACACAACACACGCTGTACGCAATACAGCCAAACTAAGCACTAGGCACCCCATAAATAAATACAAGACTAAAATTCCATGGCCAACAGTACGGTGATTGGAAACAAACCCAAGAAAACATACCCAAAATGGAATAATAGCACTCAAACATGACTATATTGACACAGCATTCCTAGTCCTAAATCTCACCTATACCACAGAAATTTATGTGGGCCTATGTACCAATCAGTGTCAGCTACTGGAGGCGATTAGATGCATCATAACAAGACCTAAATGTAAAGACCTTCGTTTTTTTTCTTTTTGGGTTAGAAGTCTTCAATTCTATAAGCCCCCAACATATGCTGCTATAACTTTTGAAGAACACATTTCTCATAAAGGGCAAGAATATCTTTCTTGGAGGGATTCTTCAACTGTAGTAATTGATCACCATAGTTGTGCTTTGTCAGCTCTTGCTTAAGCTTCAGGACTGTAAACTTCTTGTAATCCTCTTCATTCGTTTGCTGACTATGATTGTTGTCATCACCCTCAAAGATGGAACCACCATCTTCTGGATGGGTGTATCTAACTGGGCTGGAAGTGCTCTTCGATCTCTTGCTTCCCCTCATAATTCTTGGGCTCATATCCATGTCTTGAACAGATTCTACGCCAACTTCACCATCTACACGCAAGCGCTTACCATGGGAAGTAGTTTTGAGCTTACTGTCTAATGTTTCATTGAGTCGATACTTGGTCAATTCTTGATGAAGAGAATCAATCTTTGCTTGCGCAGACTGCAGCTGCAGAGAGAGAGCCTCAGCCCTGTTACTTGCTTCTGCATGTGCTGCGCGTTCACTTTCCAAAAGATTTTGAAGAATCTGAACATTACTCTTCCTCTCCGCATCATTTGAATCCAAAAGTGAATCTATTTGCTTCTCTCTTTGTTCCACCCTTTCCTCTAGCTCTGCAACTCTGGAAAGTGCATCCTTCTCCGACTCCTTTGTTCTCTGCAAATTGGCTTCCAAGTCATCCTTCTGCCTCCCTAAATTTTCAATTCTCCTTTCAGCCCTTTCAATTTGCGACTGTCTCTCCATAGCCAGCCTCTGCATCTCACTCTTCTCTTTCTGAGCCATTCCTGCTTCAGCCCGTGCTTTGTCAGCCACTTCAATAGCCCTTGCAGCTTCTTTTTCAGCACTTCTGCACCTTTCTTGGACCTCCGCAAATCTTGCAAACTCAGATTGGTACTTCTGCTCCAGATGAATCTTCTCCTGCTGAAATACCATAGCATCCTTCTCATACATTTGGGCCTTCGAATTTGCTGTTTCCAGCTTCTCAGCCAATTCTTTTAATTCAGACCTCAATGATGATATTTCTGCATCATAGCTCCTTATCTTTGACTCAGCAGCCTGCAAAAGCAAGACATATGAAATTCAACCTCAAAAGGCATAAAAGTGGTCCAAATAACAAATCATAATTAAAATCACAATGCAAAAGCTTGAAGCACCGAAATAAATTTTTCCCATTCATGAAAGCACCTAAAATTTCCAGTTAAAGCCTCAATATAGCATAATATATGAATTCAAACTCCCAATATCCCAAACCTTTCCCCATGGTGATTGTACAAAAGCCCAACAAAGCAAATTACATAAGTTTTTCCGTTGGGTTTTATTTGTAACAAGTAGCAACATTTGTGAACTTCAAGCTGAGGGTAAGAGCTCCTAAGAATCACTATATGGCAGTAAAAGTTGCTTCTAGCGCAACAAATCACGAGGTAATGATTTAAGAAAGTAACGGAACCATAGTACGAGTGAATTGAGTGGTCTTATGCGGTTGAGGAGTTATTGTGTAGGTGTCACTATTGAACTAAAGTGCTCTGGCATATTCGATAAACAAAAAGTGCAAGAAATCTGCAGAGTTTTCCTTTGAACAACTTAATCTGAGAATCTCACCTTCAAGTCTACCTTCAAAGTTGTCAAACACTGCTCAGCATACTCAATTTTGGCACGCTTCTCCTTTATTTCTTCCTCCTGCATAGTCAGCAAAGATGGAACGAATCATATACTGTAAACAGCATTTGCATTGCATGCAACATATGGAAAACTGATAAGCTGAAACCAGGGATCCTAACTTTGATGTACCAATCTCCATACGCCAGCAATACTAGGCAAATAAATATTTGCTAAAGAAATGTGAAGGTACAAATGAGGAGAGAACTCACTTTTTCAGCCAAAGTGCTGGAGAATTCTTCTCTTAGAGCATCTTCCCTTAACTGAGTTTGCTTGTTTGTGCGTTCCTGAACACTAGCTGCCTTCTCCAGAGCAGCTTTTGCTTCTCTAACAGCAATGTCATATTTCCGTTTCCACTCCTCAGCCTCTTCTTGGGCAGACTGAGCTTGTTCCCTTGCTGCTGCCAACCTTGCCTCTGCAGCATTGCTTCGGGATTTGAGAGCTGCTACTTCAGAACTAGCTTGATCTACCTCAGCTTTTTCCCTTGACAAGGCTTGTTCATATTTCCTTTTCCACTCGATGGTTTCCTGCTTGGTAGAGTCCAATGTTTTTGATAAGCTAGAATATCTCTCTTCTAATGAGCGACGATTTGACTGCAGATCAGTAATGCGATTCATATATTCATCAGTAAGCTTCTTCTTATCATTGATGGCATCTTCATAGCGTTTGATGTACTCTGACTTTTGACTCTCACAGGCTTCCAAGCGCTTTTTGAGTAGGGCCATATTATCTTCAATCATTCTGCATTTTGTTTGAAGAGTAGCCCTCTCTGATCCAACCTTTTCAATCAATCTCTTGACAAGGTCCAGTACTGGGCCTTCAAAACTGGTGTCAACAACATATGAATTAGGAAGAGTTGGATGGAATAAACATGGCATAATAATAGCTCCACAAACCTTTGCTGTAAAAAGACGGCTAGTTTTTGCCACTTCCCTGGACCTTGAACTGATGTTTCATATTCAGAAAGAAGAGCATCAAGAACCTGCATCCAACATTCTCAGTCGTTAGTTCAACAAGGAACCCTTTTTTAGCAAAAGTGAAGACCATAGAAGATGCATTGGTAAGTTCTTTTTTAGTCTTGACAATTACCTTCACAACATTATCTATGCTTGCCTCTGAAGCATGACAAGCCGCCCTGAGCCTCTTTTCCATACTCAGTATAGAATTTGAGCATCGAAGATCAGCCTCCATGAATGCATTCCTTTTATAATCCTGGTTAAAAGGAAATTATTTGGTCAGTGCTCGAAGATAAAAATGCCCCAACAAATAGGATATTATAGGAAAGAAACAATATAGGAAGCGAGAAAATTGGACATTATACTTAGGACCAAACTAAAACTCTTTGATAAGCCTTGTTTTTAAAACCGGAGGGAGTACGGAGCTAGAAAGAAACAACCCAAAAAATAATAATAATAATTGCTGCTAGTTTCATTACTTCTGTCAATAATAAAAGGTTAAAACAAAATAAAATACTCAACATAAGCACAACCCAACAGAACAAATTAAACCAGAAGGTAAAAGAAAAATTTGAACCCCAAAACTGACAAAAACTTGAGGGCCAGAGTGAGAAGACTACAACAGAACAGTGCATATAGGCAAAAGAAAAATAGGTTCACCTTGTAATCAGAAAATCCCACTAGGAACTTAAATCCGTAACAGCCCTCCAGAAATTTTAGAAATAACAACTAAATTGCACTTCAAATTGCAAGTAAACAGAAACTCAGCCACTAGATGTTGTGAAATAGAAACTATTCAAATAAGGAGACAAAAATATCAATTAAGATACAATAAGTGCACACAGTAATTAACATTGTTATCCAGACTACGAGAAAACATCAGATTATAGGCTTCAAAATAACCAGTGAGCTAATAATGAGCCACAAACGGCTAATTTCAAATATCCAGTACCTCGTATGCTTTTTTGAAGAATTTCTGCAGAAGGCCCTCATATTTCTTTCTTGTGGGACCAATCCCTACAGCGCTATCATTAAAGGCAGCCATTGCTCTCTGAACCGCTTCTTCATGTGCTTCTCTCAAAGCACCCTGCAGTCACTATCATTAGGAAAGGAAAGGAGACAAACATTCCACATCTATGAATATGGTTTACTCACTTCTTCAGGTGGCTTTGAACGATCAAAAGAGGACATATACATTTCAGCAGCAGAATCATACGCACGACGACACTCAGCTTCTTCAACACTCTGCCAAAAAACCAGCAGTTAATATCTAATATCTAACGGACAAAAAAACCAAAAAGAACATCAAATTAAGAAAATGTTTCAGACTGTAAGTTAGACTAAGCTATGGTATATAGATATTATACTCTCAGTAACGTTAAGTTTCTTCTCCCATTGATGAATTATACTGGGCAAGAAACAGAGAAGATTCTAGTAAATCTTCCAATGGCTAACAATTTCTGTGAATTTCCACTGGATTTTGTAAGTTTGAAAAGATGAGAAATAAATTATTAATGTGCAGAGCTCAAAATGAAAAGCAAAAGCTTAATTGAAATGTTAAAACATGTAAATTAGCAACAACTCCCCAGGGAGGGGGGGGGAAAGCTCATTACACAACCACAAGCACTACACTCATGAGAAAATTTTATAACATTAAGCAAATCTTTTTATCACACAGGTCAACTTATCATCTAAAAGTATGATTCTGACCTGCCAAGAGGAAGAAATAGTTGGCACAGCACCCTGGTTGATAGCATCCAGATAAGACTGGGTAATGCCAACCAGCACAGGACCTGTCATCATGGTCACCCCAACTTGCTTGGGCCTTGTTTTTTCAAAAACAAATTTCGTCAATGCCTCAAGACCAGACCGGAATTCAGGCCTTAATCTGTTCAACTGCATATTGAAGATAAAATTTCCGCATGTAGTTGGGCAATACATTGCAAAACCAGAGGAAAAAAGTACTGGTGTGGGTGTGGGTGTGTGTGTGTGTGTGTGAGAGAGAGAGAGATGGCAAGTTACTAACCGATATTTGATCAAGTCGCTGCAAATCACTTTCATTATTCAATGGTCGCACAAGGGTGAAGCATTCCCTATCTGGGAATAAAGCCCGAATGGAATCTCGAATCTTGTGATTGATATTATCGGATAATTAGGAATCATACAAAAAAAGAAAAATAGTTCCCAATATTCTTTAAGAGCTTAAGAAAACAATCACTATAAACATGCAGCATCACGAACCATATACAGTACATAATCATTGAAATCTTAACAGATAGATAAGTTGTATGTCCAGCTGAATATATTGTTCAAATTTCAACCAGAAATATCTGTGACATGCCTTCATGAGCCCACAGAGAACTGGGATAGAATCAGAAAAAATACCTCATTTTTAGAAGCTATGTCTTTTCCGCTCCCTTGGACAGGCCTCAAAGCAAGTTCCAGATAGTCACGAGGAGTTATTTTTCTGTTATCTTCTGTTAAGTCCAAATAGAAATCCTGCAAGCAACAAAGCAGAAAATAACTAAATAGTTCAACTATGCTACAAAACCAAAACCATCAAACTTCAAAGTTCATATTTTCAGTTTAGCTGGTGGCAAACAGTAACAAAAAGGCTCCAAACATCTCACCCTAAGAAGCCAAACAAAAATTGGGGAAAACTGCCCAAGCTCAGATGCAGAAGTCCTTCCTCCAGATGCTCTGACACGAATGTGCTTTGTCATTTGAGTGACAAGAGACAGACGATCCAGGGCAGCCTCATCAATACCACCCATCTGAACGAGAGAAAATTTTCAGCAAGAAATGTAGAAGAGAAGGGAACAGAAAATGGAGTAAAATCCTATAGCAGGCAACAGAATACAAAGTGACCATCCAGGATCAGAAGAGGTTCACACCTGGTTATAAATGAACATGCTAGACAGAAGCACAGCTAATGAAAATATCTGGGTGCTGTATGTTCCCTGTATAAACCAAAGGGGCAAAACATTTTAACAAGTCAAATAAGAAGAAACAAAGAGATGCCTGTATGTAAACTAGAAATGAAATATAACAATTACAAATAGAAATTTATCTACAATAGGAGAAAAACACATTTATCACTAGGAAAACTGAAAATCTGACCGTTTGATCATAGGCATCTATTCCTTCGCTGTCTAATAGCAGAAGATTGTACTCTGTTCCATCAAGTGCAGTTCTCTTCAAAGGTGCACTCCATAACCACAGACCTTTGGTACATGGCCGATGCGTTGGTGCTACTTGGAATCCACTACTCTTCCCTAAAAGCTGCAATATAAATATGAAAGGCATGAAGTTAGAATGCAATTAGATGGCCTCATCTTATTTCAGGACCAGTGCAATCAAAGGCGCCTGCCTCACCACCTAAGGTGCTAAGGTGAGGCAGCAAAGACCCCTGCTGTTTGTCATAGCATGAGAGGTGCTGGGTTAAGTCAGGCACCAAAAGGCGTTCATCTTTTGCCTCCTTAGGCACTTGTTTTAGGTAAGACGCAAGCACCTTTTGGCAACCGAAAGAAGTAGGAACCTATTATAGGAGAAACCTTAGAAGGACTAGAACTGGAAACAAAGCTTGGGTACAGTTGTTGTGTTGAAGGACTGAAAGAAGCAAGAGATGTACAATTGGAAATCTGACTCAATAGATGGTTTAGCAGTGGAAAATAACCTTTATTTCTCAGAAAAATTATCACATATGACACAGTGATCCTATGATATCAAGTTGTGTTCTTTCTTAAGGTTTGGAGGATGAAGTGGACACCAGCTGAAGAACATATGCTTTGGAAGATTGAGAATTTACGTTAAACAAGGTTTCCTTACTAGTGTTTGACAATCATGAATAGTGATGTAATATATAAATGGAATTCAATTGCATCCAATTGGCAACAGACAAGGCCTACACACAAATATCAGATAGGAACCCCTGATGAGAAAAAATAAAAACTAAGCATAAGTCACAGTCTCAAATAAGCTATTAAACAACAACATCAACAACTCAGAACTCAGAACTAACCAAGTCCAAAACTAATTGTTCTCCAATTTTGTGAGACAAATGTCATCACTATCACCCAGAGCTTTGTCCATCATCGAGAACACTACACTAGACCAGACTCTAAACTAACAACTCTTGGTAACATATAGATAAAACATGGCCGGTACTAGAGATAAATTAGAGAAGGAAGTGGAAACTAATCAATTTCTTCGTGGCAAATTTTCCACCAAGCCTATCCAAAAAAGGAGTGGCTGAACATGATCTTTGAAATTCAGGTCCATCAAGTCATTTACAAACCATGCTAAACAAGAGAAAGCTGGTTGTTTTGAATCCTTGAAACTTACATTTGGAATTCCTAGCACAACTTGCACAATTAAAGTGATTTTCCCATCAATTCCAGCCATGAAACAACTCTCCCATGAGTCAGAAATGTTTTCCATCAAATCATGATAAACAGGCTACTGTGAATTGCTTTCAAGAGAATTTTATAGCTACGAATGATAAAAGTTATATCTACAATGAATTTATATAGGGAGATTTGCAAACCAGTGAAGCTGCCAAGTTAATAACAATCAAATCAAATTCTTTATTAGATAGTGCTTATGTCAATACTATATCGCTAGTTTATTATTTTTTTCCCCTTATTTTTCCTAATGAAACAAGCTTCCTAAAACAAGAAACACAAATTGATCTGACAGAAGCATTCCATGGTTAAAAGTATTTTTATAGTCTTCCAAAGACTGCATGTCTCAATCTATAGTGTAACCAAACTTAAACATGAGATTTGACCTCACAATAAGCCTTCAGTATGAACCAAGGAGATTTAATGAATGATTTTTCAGTTTGAGGTTTCCTTTACAATCAAGCTTCTTTCTCTCCTCTTCTAGATCCAGACTACTGTTCTCCACAGATACACACTCGACTATGCGTATATCACGACTATTGTTTTTCTTCACAGACTCTATGCATGGAAATGTGTGTTTGCATATGCAGACACACCGGTATGTGTGTGTTTTTTCCTCTTTAGATCTTATACTACAGAATCCCAAAACACGTGTAATATTGAAGTCCCTTAAATCACCCCACCAAAACAATCAACCATATTCAACCATATTCCTGGAGCAACTTTTTGGCCAGGTCCATCAGGATGTTAACTTTTAGCTACATATAAAAATAAACAATTCAGCATTCCCACCTACCCTTGATACAAAATTTCTTGCACACAAAAGGTGCCTTTAATAAATAAGAATAGAATAAGAAGTTACAAACGATTTATGAAGGAACCTTAAAGCTACCGCATAAGCTCTCAACCGATCACTATTCACATCTCTTCAGTTACATTTTAACTAACTGTCTCTCAAAACATATCCAATCAAGCAGAGCTAGAAGATACACAAAAAGGTCCCAAGAGTTTCTCACTCTTACAAACTATTACACGCTCCAGAAGAGCTCCAAAATTGCCGCACATAAATATTCAGAAAGAAAACTATTTATTCACAATCCTCAAGGTAATTGTCGCACATAAACAGGGAAATGGGGGGCTCTCCACAAGCCCCGAATTAAAAATCCAATCTCCCGTGTTGTATTAGCTTGGTAAGAATGGTCTCAGAGCCATTCAACAACAATTTAGTCAAGAAAAATATGATCGCGGGCAGAAGCACAACAGTATTATCCAAATATCAAATATTCAATCCTTCAACAAAATAGAAACCTTTCAAAGCCCTAATTAAGCAGCGCCAGCAAATATGAACCCTAATCCTAAACTTCCCTTTCAACCAAAAACTAAAAACCCTCGCTGAAATTCCATTTCAGGGGACGAAAATTTACCTGATTTAATATAAAGCTTTTGCCTTGGCGAGCCCGTCCGCAAACAGAGACCACGCCAATGGGTTCCTTCACAAGCTGAAGAGTGGCGACGGCTTCTGGATCCATCCGAAACTTTCCCTTCTCGTCACAATAGACCAATCGTATGGGCCTCGCCGGGCCAGTCACCGGGGGCACAGAAGGCGACGACGAGGACGTCGCCGCCGGGAATGGTGGTGAAGCATCGGCGGAGTTGTCTCTTCGAAAGAATCCCAGCATGTCTAGTGCGTTTACTTTCTGACTGCTTCTTGGCCTTGCTTTATGGTTTCCACTTCCCCTTTTGATTCAAAGTTACAGAGTAGCCTGCTTTCTTGGCTTTGGGAAGTTTCTTTCAGTGCTACTTTTATTAGCAGTGAGAAGAGAAAGTGACGAAGTGGTTCAAAATTGGGGAAGAAGAAACAAGAGGGGTTTGGCGGTCAAAAAGACGTGATTGTTTTCCTTCTGTGTTTCCGAGCGGGCGCGTCGAGTTAAACCGGGGAACGAAGAAGGGGCTAATAAAATAAAGGTTAATATAATTTTTTTTTAATTTACCCTGACTTTAATTTTAATTTCTCAAATTTTAAATTTTAAATTTTAGTTTCTCAGTTTTTTTCCATTCATAATTTGAAGGACAAAAAATCATGTTAACCCCAAAATAAAAGTAATGATATATGAACTATTAATTTTTTTGGTCAAAATATATCAACTACAACTATTAAATTGAATAATTGATATATTATGTATATAGTATTAATTAATAATTAATGTTAATATATGACAATATAATTACCATAATTATCAATTAAAATCAATTATAAACTTCCAATATTAATATGTAATTATGTTTTGGTAACAATATCTAATTATTTATTAAAAACATAAAAATGTTTCAAGCCAAAAATACATAAAAATATGCAATTTATATCAATCATTATCATCCACTAATTATGACTTGGACAATATAAATTTAAAAAATTTCATACAACATACCAAAAGGAAAAAAAAACGGCGTGAGGGTTTAGAGTTTATTTAATTATTTATTGTTTTGGGCGTTATCATTAATCTATATTTTGTTGGTGGAAGAGAAAAACTGCAATGAAAGATATTGATATTTAAATAATTAATTAGCTGAAGGGAAAGAAAACTCTAAATACTTTGCATAGAGCTGCTGGAATCATAAACTCAAAGCATAGTACAAGTTTGTCTATTAACTCCAGGAAATGTACAAAAATCCCCACCCCATGACAAATATAAGACTATATATTAAATAAATAAATAAATAGCTGGCAAAAAAAATATATTAAATAAATAATACTTCTCCGATCCTTAATATAAGACCCATTTAACTAATTTGATTAAATTAAGGAAGTTAGGTAAGTTAGTTAATTATAAAAAATATGACACGTTTTTCCTAAAATACCGTAATCATCTTTCTTAATATCTCCTCTTCTTTTTCTACTTGATTATGGTTAAGGGAGTATCCATATGGGTAATTTAGAGAAAGTTGATAAATATGAAAAATGGGTCTTATATTTAGAACTAAAACCAACTCAACAATTAAGTCCTATATTAAGAACCGAAAGAGTACAACAACAAACTTTTGGTTGAAATGATAAACAGTGTCATCCCATAAATAAGAGAACATAAATTTAAATCCTGAAATAGAGATTAGTCTTAAATTTAAATGGATTTACATTAAATATATATATATATATATATCTATAAAGTGATGAGAGTCTCACACGTGCTCGCATGTAAATGAGTTACTATGATGTCATTTTACCCGTATCAACTCTAAAAAGGCTACAACAATCTCAATCCATAATAGAGGCAAATGGAGGCAAGCGTTGACTATGAACATTAGAAATATTGAAATTTTTTTTCAAAAAAAAGTGTAGATATAAAAATACATGTGCCTAAATTTATCCTAGCTAGCAAAAAAAAAATCTTTAGACACCACGTTTTATTTTGTCACAATTCACAACACATGAATAGGTATTAATCAATCCGGAGAACACGAAGCGCTTAAAAATTATATAGAAAGAAAGTTGCAAATGGAACCTTCCGATAATTTTCATATTGTACAATGCTCAGAAGCTAGGGAAAATTGGTAAAAAAATCTCTAGTTAAAAATTTAATTGACTAAAAGGACATGAATTTAAGCAAGTACAATTATGATCTATGAGTGTAACATATCTTCTGTTGTGTGTAACATATCATTAATAATTAAGCACATTGCAATAGGAGGATATGATGGAATTTTTTTTTTTAATAAAAATGCATCCAACACTCTCATTTTATTCATAATGCTTTTAATACTCTAATCCTATTTTTCTGTTACATTCAGGAATGTAATTAGCATGTACAAACACAGCTCTCTTCAGATTTCTACTTCTTTTTTAAACGCATTCTCTTCTTTTTCTAATGCACTATTGATGTGTATAGTGTTTAAATGTTAGGGCCAATAGACTTGAGTCTAATAGCATGAAAGCTAGTAACCCACTATCTCCTCTCCTTGATATAAACTCTAATTTATAATTTAATTTAAGTTATAAAATTAAATTAAAAACTAGATTTTATACTAAAAATCAGAAATAGGCAAATTAGTGTATCAAACGTTGAGGAATTTTCTTCCGTCAAAATTTACTTTTTACTGCCCCAAATACAAGTACAGAAATTTGGCTGCTCCCTTTTTTCCCACTTTAATTTGCACCAAAAGGGAAGTCAAGATTAATGATTGACATGAGGGAATTTTGATCAGTTGAACTGATGAATTGATTACAATAAACACACTTATGCACTAAGTTTGGGTTGATATACGAGCAAGTACATATATTTGATAACGCTTGATATGTGCCTCTTCCACCCTTTTGGGACAAAAGAGGATTACACATAGTTGGATTCATCGATAATGATGGCCAACTAATTAGAGCTGTTTTTGGGAACTCTTTAGTTCGCTTTTTGTGCAACTCATTCCAAATACTTTATTTCCTTCTTTATAATGTTGCATTTTCATTTGTTTTGGAAAATTCCTACTAAGGGTGAATTGTATAGGGTAACATAGCTGAAATTATGAGTAACCAAGACTAATTACATTAGACTTCGCTGAACTTAGAAGTTAGAACCATGTATAACTAACATTCTTAACTTTTAAAATATAATAGTAAATTTAAACTTTTAATGCCCCTTGTTTTGATATACACTGATACACATATATGCCCCCTAAAACTTCAAGTTGTATGCAGATAATATTTTAAAATTTTAAGTCATGTGCAAATTAATAATGAACAAAACTAATTACATGTGAGTTTCTATGCATAAACGTAAATGTTTTGGGGAAATTAATGGTAAAATTTTAAAAATTAAGGAGATTATTTACCTCTGATGTAAAATTCAGGAAAATTTTGTATAATTTAACCAATAATCAACTATTATTCTGTCATGCAATAATGCACATTGAGATAAAATTTAAAAACTACTAACATATGCTAAAGAGAATAAAAATTATGGTGCGACCCACTCCGTATATTTTAAAGAGAGTAATGATTATTTCTATCTCTTTTAATTGCATACCTCTATGTTTTCTTAAAGGCAAAAGCGTAAAAGTTTGTGGTCCAATAAAATAAAGATTTTTTTGGCAATAAATAATACATTCATATATATATCTTTTTTAAACAAAATAATACATTCACATATGTGTGTGTATATACACACTCTCCATGTATGAAAACACAATTTAACAAATTAAAAGGGATTCATATCAGAATCTCTCTCAGTAAGTCTAGACTAATAACAATAAAGTAAGACTGGGGACCAGTATCCCATGATAAAGCATATGTGCTACGTCCCAAGCTATTAGCGGCGAGGTAAATTTCAGAGTCCCGGGGGGGGGGGGGCCATCAAAAAGATTTTTATTTTGCGAGACAAATTTTTTTTATTGGAGACAGTAGAGCTGGTAAAACAGATCAACCCGCAGGTTGTGGATTGGCCATAGTGAGCTGTGGGTTACACGATGCCGGTTCAAAATGCCTGTTTTCTGGCGGATTGGTATTTTGCCAACCTTAACCCACCAACCAGCTAGAATTTTTATTTTTTTGCTTTTTATTTTTATTATTTTTATTATTTTTCTTATTTTTTTAAATGTTAACAATTATATATAATCAAAAATAAAAACACTAGAAATGATATAAAATATTACAAACATCCAAATAAAAATTACAACACAATAAAATACAAATAGTATATGATTATGCAATTTCCTAACATGATAATATACAAGTTCACACATTTTTTTCTAATGAAACCAATGAGCAACACTGAATAACCCTCTTTATCTAATCATTTCTAATGGTAATGAAGTTTGAAGTGAAAATCTGTTTTACTTTTGCCTTCATTATTTTATTTTTTTAAAAATAGGTGGGCCAACCCGTTGCAGGTTCGGGTTATGATGGTGCGGTTATATTTTTTAAGGTGGTGGCGAGTTGACTTTTGGCCAACCCTAACCTGTCATTTTTGGCAGGTTGGACTTGCAGATTCAACCCATATTACTAGCTCTAGGAGATAGGCTTATTTGAACATTGTTAGACATTGTGGGCACCTCTCCTTGTGAGGGTTGAGCATTTGCTTGCGGGGTTCATCAGGATTAAAGCATACCTATGGACCCAGAGAGTCCTTACAGATCACTTACCAATAACGTCTTTACATTTGCGGCAGAATTCAAACTCACGATCTTGTAGGTTATGAGCCGACTTTTTACCAACTGAACTAATTCTTATTGTTTTTTTTTTTTGGCTAAAGCATAGATATCCTTTTATTAGAGGCAATCATATTTGAAGCACTGTCGAATACTAAATGTGGGTACCTCTCTCAGGAGGATTCGGACCTTAGTTTACTACATTATGAAGAACTAATTTCTTCCACTAGATCTAACTTTTGTTGGTATGTCTTTTTTCTTTTTTTTTGCTAAAATATAGGTATCCTTTTATTGGAGGCAATTCTATTCGAGACACTGTCGGGTACTAAATGTAAGCACCTCTCTCAGCAGCTATTCGAACCTTGGTTCACCATACTGTGGAAGACTAGCTCCTTCCACTAAACCCAATCTCCGTTGGTTATGCTTTTTTTCTTTTGAAATAATTACAACTCTTCCATAAGGACAACCCATTGATCAATTTGTTGGGCCACCAGATGACCCAGTAACAATTTGTGGGCCACAAAAGCCCATCTTGGCTTTGAATTGAGTTTTTTTCCCCACTAAATGGGCTTTTCAGTGGCCCACCTATTACGGGCTATACAAAAGGATGCATAATCCAATTGATGTATACAATAATGATGATCAATTACTTTTTGAGTAAAATACACTAACATCTTTTTATTTTATCTAAATTACAAAAATTTCTTTTTATTTTGAAAGCATATATTATACAAATCT